AGCAGACTATAGACCAAACATGATTGCCACTCAATGCTTCTTTTGCAAACCACAACACCCAAAAGGAGAGAGAGAACAAAAGGGAATGCCCTGCCACAGAGGCAGGGTGGGATGGGGGGCATGGGGGGTGGGAGGGATACTGGGATCCGTGGTGGTGGGAAATGGGCACTGGTGGAGGGATGGGTGTTTGATCATTGTATAACTGAAACCCAAGCACAAAAATTTTTTTTTTTTTTTTTTTTTTTTTTTTTTTTTTCCCCCTTTATTTTATTTTATTTTTTTTTAAAGTTGTAGATTTACAATTTTTTGTGCTTTGGTTTCAATTATACAATGATCAGATACCCATCCCTCCACCAGTGCCCATTTTCCACCACCATGGATAATATCCCTCCCACCCCCATCCCCCCATCCCCCCGTCTCTGTGGCAGGGCAATCCCCTGTGTTCTCTCTCTCCTTTTGGGTGTTGTGGTCTGCAAAAGAGGCATTGAGTGGCAAACATGTTCAGTCCATAGTCTACTTTCGACATGCATCTCCCCTCCTGGGAGGATCCTCCAAACATCCTTTATTTGGTGCTCCCTTCTCTATCTGAATAGCCCTTTCCTCTAGGATACCCGGCTGGCCTCTAAGTTATGGAGTAATCCTCCTGGTGCTGATCTCAGCTATTCTTGGGTATTAATCTCATACTTTGTTACTTTATATCCCCCAGATGAATGCAATCTTTCTATGTCTATCCCTCTCTTTCTGACTCATTTCGCTTAGCATGATACTTTCCATATTGTACCATTTGTATGTAAATTTCATGACTTCATCTTTTCTAAGAGCTACATAGTACTCCATTGTGTAGATGTACCACCAAGCACAAAAATTTATAAGTCTACAACTGTACCTCATGATTTCTCACTAATAAAAATTACAAAATAAAATAAAAATATTGGAAATAAAAAAATAAAACCAGTAAAAAAAATAAAATCTATTTGTGTATATAAAAAAAACAAATCCAGAAGTGAACTTATTCTCCCTTAGTTTCAGTTTCTTCATCTATAAAATGATAATTCATCCAATTTTTATAAAATTACATTATGATGTTGCTACTTTTGGATGCTGAGTGCTACTCACTGAGAAAGCTGAGAAAAATAAATATAGAGAAAAGGATAAATCAAGAATTTCTTACGTACTATGTCTTATGTACTATTTCAATGTACTATGCCAAGTGTCTTTTTAAATGTTCTATAATAGAAGACAAGTAAACAGAAATATAGAAATGAACTTCTAAGATTAGAAGAGGGCTGAAGAAAGAAAATTGAGTTGCTTGACTAGAGATGCATTTAGAGACATGAAGTAAAAAAATGATTTTGAAGTGTGGTATTACATGAGCCAATAGGAGAAAATGGTTCTAAAGCAATAAGCTATCAGCTATATTTATATCTACATCTAATCAAAAAATTTTATGGGATGGCTGAATGAAAAGCACTGAGGAGTCATTCCCCAGGGAAGAAGACTAAGTGGTTAAAAGTATTTTAAAGTGGTATAATGATAGCCATTAGAATGTCTCAGTATTCTCTTCATTTTAGTCCCCATTCAGAAAATACAGATTAGTTTATTAATAAAAAAGTATTTTAAAGTTCTTAATTCTATAGAAATGATCTCCAAATACAGAAAATGAAGACATATTTACCATTAGAGAATATATGTGGGCAAAACCATAAAGAGTCTGTGGTATAGAATATACACACTTCTTCCTGTCCAGTGCTACTCTCAACCACTCACCTAAAAAAAAGCTCTATCCCAGGTTGGCCAAAAAACGGCAGGACTCGCTCCTGGCTCAGCTCCCAATCAAGGGAGACTCACTAGCATTTCTCATCGTTACCACTCAGTATTTAAGATACTGAGTTACTGCTGAGACTGACTGAGGAGTTTAGGGCTCCCTTCCCTATCCAATGCCCAGATCTTGAAAGAGGCTCTAGCTTAGTGAGAATTCTAGGTTCCGAACTGCCCTCTTATTCAATGTCTTCCTTACTAGATCTTTAGAACAATTCAAGAAAAAAGGGAGGTACAAATACTATCTCTTTAAATCCTTTTACATTTTCCAGTGTTTTTCACAGTAGCTACTCAGTAAGTTTATCTATGGAAGCTCTGCCTTGCATTGTGGCTGACCCACTTTTGATCCCTGGCACCAAAAACAGTCCCCTAAGCACTACTAAGAGTGATTCTGAGCACAGGGCCAGGAGTGAGTCCTGAGCATTAATGGGCATGATCCAAAACATAATAAAACATAATCAAACAAAAAACCAAAAACAAATGGAAGCTCCTGAATTCAACTTACCTATTTTCCTTGGCTACTATATTAAAAGAGAGAGAGAGAGAGAGAGAGAGAGAGAGAGAGGAGAGAGAGAGAGAGAGAAATGAAGCTAAAATTTGCTCCTCTCTATAGTGCATATTTTACTGTTTATCACAAAGGTTTCACTTTTCACCTTCACATCTTGGCATTTTAGAAGAATATATATAATCTCAATCATTTTACGTTCATATTTATTTTTAAGTAATTTCACCCCATTTAAAAGCCCACTGAACAGAATTTCAGAGTCAATCTACTTGAAATGCTACTTTAATTACTTTTAATTATTTTGTATTTCGGATCCTACTGTATGAACTGTTAGCTTTGCTTTTATGTAAAAACTCACACACTTATAAATTATTTAATTTACTGATGATTAAAAAAAACCTTAGTTTATAAAAAACCTTTACAAAGTTCATACCTCAGAAGTTTTCCTCTTTGACACTACATGTGTGGTTATGAGAGCTGTGAAAAGGGAGATGTCTACAGATAGGGTCTTTGGAAAACTAGCAAAATTTGTGTGTCTATATCATATCCAAAATAGTAGGAATGGTACTCACACCTCAAAAATTACTATCAAAAGGAAGTGTCTTATATAGACATGAAGGAGGGTCCTTAAAACTTAGCAAATATTGGATATTTAATTGGATAAAACATGGATATTAAATTCCCATGCCTTGAAGTGGTTAAGAGATACTTAGGTTTGTGCAATGTGCTATGATCTGCTTTTAAAATTCAACCAGAGTTTTACTGCCTTAGTAAGAATTACCAGATGTTTGGTAGTTTCAAACTTTCTTCTGATTTAAATCTGTGAACACATAACATACCTCATTAACCACATTCCTGCAACAATAACTAAGACTTCTTCCTATGCTAAATTCTTGTTGCAAAATTTGCCCTCTGAAAAGCTGGAACTGGCAGCACCAGTAGTGATCCTTGAGCCTAGTCAGGAGTAAGCCCTAAAGCACCACTGTGACCTCAAAACCAAAGAAATAAAATGAAATAAAAAGCTGGAACTCTATACTTCTTAAAATGAATTTCAACTTTTCAGTGCATATGTAAACTAAACAACATTTAAAATAAATTATTTTTAAGTATTTAACTTAGAGTTGAATAGACAGTACAGAGAGTAGGGAACTTGCCTTGCTCACAGCCAACACAGATTCAATCCCTTTCATCTCTTATGGTCCCCTGAGCACTATCAAGAGTGACCCTGAGTGCAGAGCCAGGAGTATCCCCTGAGCATTGCAGGTGTGTAATCCGAAAACCAAAATAAATAAAAAAAAAAATAGTATTTAATTCTATGATAAATTTAGTATTTTAAGAAATTTAGTGATTAAATACCTGGTTTATCAAGTATTAACAATCTTTATCATGCAACTTTTGTTGAATACAAAATAAACCACCACAAACTATAATCATACTCATCAGTAGATCAAAGCCACTGGGCAAAGTCTAGCTATAAAAAAATTTATTAAAAAAAATAGATAACATATGTAAACATCTGTTTCAGTCATAAGGTTTCATAATACAGCATAACAAGTCCAGGCCTTAAACCTCTTCAGTGAGAGCACCTTTATTGTTGACTAACAGCAATCAGCTTAATTTATCTTTCACTGTGCTGTAAGGTCCCTATGAAAATAAATAACCAGATTCTGTTAAGTATACTAATAGACACAGAAAATTGCAAATGTACAATAGACCATAGCAATTAACCACTGTAATAATGTGAGATTGAATCCTTACATTTTAACTATCTTTTCAATAGTTTCATTTTTAAGTCCATCACAATACAGAATTCACTGGAATAAAGCTAAATGGGAGAATTGAGGGACAAGATAGACCCAGAATTTTCCAAACCCCCAAATATACCACACCAGACCACACAGACAGACAGACACACACACACATTGATACAATTTTGGTCAAAGCAAAACTGAGAAAACAGTTTAATATTTCTCCTTATTTCTCCTTTCACTTTAGACGTGTATTTTTTAGGCATGTTTTTCCTTTCCTTTTAAATGCAGTGTTCATGTGCTCAAATGACTGAATACTAGCCAACTGTACTTTCAAATGTGAAAAAACTTACCCCAAACTGTAACTACCCAAAAGTTGAAACCAAACCACAGAATGGACAGTAATACCACAAAATGTAGTGAGTACCTGAGATTCTGCTCCAAGAAATCTTAAACACAGATTGTTTTACCTATGGAAAAATGTAAATATACTTCTGTGCCCTGTTCATCATCTGCTGGGGTATACTGCATGATGACTATGACATTAAAATCTCTCTCAATATGTATATGTATGTATATATATATATATATATATATAAACTATCAAGTAATATTTGCAATTTAGTTTTTTGTTGTATGAAAAAGAAATTATTAGGTGTCAAACTGAATAGCAAATTTCTAATGAAAGAGGAAGATAATATATTTAACAAAAGGAAACCAGGCAAACTTACCAAGGTTCTGCACAACCATCTCTACAGCTTAATAACTCAGTCTATTTGTATCATACATATATGATTTGTAAGTGACTCAGAAAACTCTTTAAATCATGTAAAATCTGATCTGCTACCCAAAGATACATTTTATACAAATCTGAAAATAATCTATAACATATGTGGTACTTTCCACTGTGTCAATTTATCTCTGTGGATGCCTAATATTTATAAATCACAATGAAATGAAATGTGAGATAACTACTTAATATACCAATGCACTTCTACATCTTGCCTTGACTATGATGCTCTTTATGTGTATTTGGAGTACAAGATTTTAAGTAAAGTGAAATAAAATGACACAAATGTTTAAAATACACGATACATATTTCAGAAAATTTTAATTGTGCTTCTGAATACCAAATACACCACTACTGAAGAACCCTTTTCACAATATGAATCTGCAGGGGAGTTTTCCTTCTATTGCATGGTTTTCATCAAATCTCAATGATTAATCTTTTTAAAATATGTGTTAGAGGTGCTTGAGAGATAATACCGCAGATAAGACGCTCGCCTTTGGATGTGGAGGACCTTGGTTTGATCCCTGGCACCTACTATGGATCAAAAAGTTTCTTATTAATCTGTTGGAGTTTTAATGTGTAAAAAATTTATATTACATTCAATAAAACTTCAACAAGTTACATTCAGTAAAATTTCCTCAGAGAGAAAAATATTGCATAATTTAGGTGAGAACTCGACATTATTTACACAGTATAAGCTACTGCTGCATAGTATTAGTTTTAATAGGACTCTGCATTTATCCTAGTCATCAAAAAATTTTAAATAGCCCTTTACTTATTAATATCACATTATTTTTGTTCTTTTTGTTACACATAACAAAAAAGGAAGGAAGAAAAGAAGGAAGGAAGGCAAAAAAAACAGAAAAGAAAGCATGGAAGGAAACTAAAATGGTATCTCTCATAACAATTTTTCTATATAATATTACAAATGAAGACAAAATGTTGACATTGTGCTTAAGGTAATGCCCCTCCCCACCTCCACCTCGATACACAGCTTTAAATTTGTTTTTTATGTGTCTGCAATTCAAGTTAAGAACAGTGGGGGAGGGGGACAAGAAACACAATATAAACAACTAACAAAAATCACATATAATTTTTGGGAAACCACATAACCATAAAAATAACATGACCACAGTTTTTGAAAACACAGCAGCACGAAACAATTCAATGGGAAAAAACATTGCCCTAATTTTTCACCTTAAAAAAAAAAGCAACAACAAACAACAAAATGCTTGACCAATCAAAGGCACTTAAGACAGAAATTCTTTCTCGAGGTCATATATAGATGGACGGGTAGTTCTGTTCTTCATCCTACACAGAGGCACTGTGCCGTCCATGCTCTGTCCTTCAACATCAGCATCCAGTAAGGAAGGCACGTGGGGTTTAGTTTTATCCTTGGCATCAAGGGAGCAGTGAGGGCTTGGTCCTGAACCACCCACTACCTGGTGAACCTGTAAAGGCAGCAACTGGAAATCTAGAGGGCTTCTCAAGGAGCGGGAGCCGGGCAGAGTCCTGCTACTGACAGTTCTTTGATTTTCAGGAAGGACCTCAGTGGGCAGGTTACTGTGAGTGCTAGAAGACGACAGGGGAATCCCTAAACCTAGGTCCAAATGGAGTTTTGAGACTCGGTTAGTTGTGACAATAGTTGCACCACCTGGTTAGGAAAGCAAAGACAGTGTGCAGTTAGAGTCAGTAATTTCTAAAACAATCAATACCAAAAGAAAGCACTAGGAGCAAGCCCTTGCATGCAGCCATCCCAGGCTCGATCCTCTGCATCCCATATGCTCCCCCCCACACTGCCAGGAGTAATAACTGAGTGCAGAGCCAGGATTAACCCCTGAGCATCACGGGTATGACCCCCCCCCACTCCAAAAATACATAAAATAAAAAAGCACCAGGATGAGAAAGCACAGAAAGCACAACTCAGCTAGGTAATCACTTCAACAAAAACAAAAAAATACAAAAACCTATTTTTAAAAAACCTGTTGAAAATCTAAACACAATTTTTAAAAAAGCAATTTTTAGGAATACAACTCAGAAGAAAACTAATCACAATTAAAAAAAACTGTTAAGAGTTTTTTTTATAATAAAGTATTGACAGAAAAAAGTACTTCATTTTACAGAGAAATGCATTTGTAACCTGCTAAATCATTATAGTGCTTATTTGCCCAATGGACACTAGACTTAGTTTATAAAAAGAAAAGACTTCAAAATTAGACTGAAATAAAATTAAAACTTAAAAAGTATGGTTAGTGGGGCTGGAGCGATAGCACAGCAGGGAGGGCGTTTGCCTTGCACATGGCCAAATGATTTCCAGCATCCCATATGGTCCCCTGAGCACCGCCAGGAGTAATTCCTAAGTGCAGAGCCAGGAGTAACCCCTGAGCATCAGCAGTGTGACGAAAAAGAAAAGTATGGTTAGTATAATTTAACTTTACTTTCAGATTATAGTCTGAAAAAATAACTAAAGTATGAAGCAAGCTTTTCCATATTACTTTCTCTCTTGTTTTTTCATTTTGGTTTTTGAAGAAATGACTTATTATCACTTAAAAAAAATATTTGGCTATAATTAAGAGAAGAACGACCTCTTAGTAGATTACTGTGTTAAAATTTCTCCTTGTACAATTTTAAATCAGTTACATTTCTACAGCATTACAAAAGGGCATTGATAAAACTAATTATTTTCAAGATATGAAATAATAATAATATGAATAAGTTAATATATAGTAGTTAAAGAGGTAGAGGAAAAGACAATGAAAGCAGTTTCAGCTTTAATTCAGCTTTATATCCTCTCCAGCAGAAAGAGCAGTGAAACAGGAGGAGATAACCAGATACAAAGAGGAGGTTAGCTAATGCAATTTTAGTTCCAGTTCTTCCACTAATTACTGGTTTCACTCTGGGAAAATGACCTCTTCTATAACAGGAGGGGCTTGGGCAGTTATTCCCCACAAGCTCTTGCTATTTTAGCATATATGTGAAATTTAAGTTGTTAAAAAGTTCTGATCATTTTCTTAGAATCCAAATCACAAAGTCCAAGAATAGGGTAAAATTCCAAGATCAATGAATAGGACAAATAGGGTAAAATTCAAAGCTCAGTGAACAGGACGAATTTCTGCACATAACCATTTGGCAAAGGTAAAAAAATCCATCCAATTTTACATTGTTTACCAAGTAACAAGACTTACTTGGGCCCTGGATGGCATTTCCATCAGATCTGGTCCTTCTGTGACATGTTGCTCTTTCAGAAGAAACATAAGGCACATTCCCACATGTCTGCTCTGTGAAGGGAGATAGGTTTTTCCACCTAGTAAGATGAGCCTCAAGTTCTGGCATGCAGGCTGGCTCATGACTACTTCCTCTGATGGAAGGGCAAAAATCTTCAGTAGGCATGCTGGGGTCACAAGTAGTATGTGTACTGCCCTCAAATGAATCTTCTCCGTCAGTCTGCAGCAAACACTTTGTGGAGAGAGAAGGCATTGACAGAAGGCTCCCAGTGCTTGGCAGAGAGACCCAGGGTGAGCAGTTGGCCCCCTCCCCTGTAGGGGGAAGCCTCCTGGGAACACTGGCATTGCTGCGGGACTTGGGGGCCCGCTGGAAGATGCCCTCGCGTTTCTTCCTTTCTTCCTTGGGTAACAGTTCTTCAGCTGTCTGTGCTTTATTTAGCTCTCTGATATCCTGTCCCAAAGCCACTGATGCAAGAAGCATGGTACAGCCGTACAAAGCAGACTCCATTTTCTTTCTCTGGGGGGACCGGCTCAGATTATTTGTAGGGTTCAACTGAGTGCAAGCTACAGGGCTTCCAGGAGTCCCTTCCTCCCACCTTTCAGGTTCCCCAAGATTTTCTCTCTGGCCATCTTTCCAAAGAGGTAGATCAATGTAGGCTTGATTAGGTAATTTGATTTGCTTTGGTTTTCTGTGTTCTAATCCTTCAGGAGAATGATCTGGCTCTTCACAAGTTCCTAAAGTAAAGATATAAACATGCACGTGGTAGTAAAAAATGACTTGGACCATACTATAAAATAAATAAAAGCTAAAAATCTAATCAGTGAGTATTCTAAGTCTAAGTATATGTAGCAATTCTACAGTTCATTAAATGGCTCATCTAGAAAGAGCCTAAGGAACACTGGGCTGGTTGCCTGTAGAGAAAGAAGCAGTTTCCTATCTAGGAAAGATTCTTAACTAAAATGGGAAATGGAAACTTTTAAAATACTAAAGTCTTTAAGAAATGCATTGCACACACACATGCAAACATACACACACCCTACAACACATAAAAAAATGTTTTCCAACATAGAGAGTATCATGCTGAGTCAAGTCAGAGGGAGAGGGACATAGGATAATTACACTCATTTGTGGAATATATAAAAAAAAAGGTAAAAATAAAAAACAAATTATGAGACTAATTCCCAAAGACAAGAGAAATGAGGGCCAGGAGGACTGGTAGGAGTGCAGTTAGGTCAGAAAAGGATAATGATAGTTGGAAATTATCATTCTGGACAAAAACTGAACTTTGAAAGCAGGCAAAGTGATATACATGATAACCCTTCAGGGGCAGTATTGCAAACCATGGGAGGGGATTGGTGAGTGAGTGAGGGGGGGAGGAGAGGAGAGAAAGAGAGAGAGTGCAACTGAGTATCAGGAAGAAAACTGGGAACATTGGTGGCAGGAAACCATACACTGGTGAGTGGATGGATGTTGGAACCTCGTGGTGATTCAATATAAAACAAGGGTGGAGAGAGAAAAATGTTCTCTCTTCTCCTCTAATTAAAGGCCTGTGTGTATAAAAATTGATGCAGCACATTACTTGTTCTCAATGTGCTGGATGCACCAGCACCACCTGCATCATCTGCAAACTGGTAGAAATGTGAATTCTTCACCTACTCCAGATCATGCAAGCCACTGTAAAAGGAAGATCCTCCAGAGAGGTTAAAGAGAAACCAAAGGGTAACAATTTCTGCTGGCTGAAGAGGAAATGAATTCTTTCCACTTAGGTGTTCGAATAGTGAATGAAGGAAACCATGAAATCCTTGATCTGGTGTCTAAAGCAATCCACAAAAGAGCCTGACATGGGTCCAGCAGCTTTAGGTCGGCAACACTTGAAAGAAACTTGGCAGCCAAACAAGCTGACACACAGCCTTTCCTCCCAAAATGAGCCATGCTGTTCCCAGTGATGCTTTCTCTTCAGGGGGCTGCCTTCTTCCTCTGTCCATCCTCCTACTTTCTAATACCCAATACAGGTTCCTTTTCCCCTAAACTTTCTCGGAATACCACCTACAACTAACAGTGCCTAACACTGCCCATTTTCCCACAGGCAAAAATCAGCTTCCTGTGAAGCCCCTGGGGAATCTTCTAGTCTCTTCCATTTAGTTACTTACAAATAAATCAGGTATGAGCATTTCTGCAGATGGTAAGCATCCAAACTTCTGTTTGACTTGATGTTCTAAGAGTTAAAGCCTTCTGAAGAGAGGCTTTACCAACTGGGCAGAAAATACTTTCTGGTGAACAATACATGTAATACAATGTTATTTAAAAAACAGGAAGAGAATTCCTTCAACAAGTGAAATTGATCTATTTCCAGATTTCCTCCATGCTGCCTCCTATGGGCTTTCTCATATACCTTTCCTGCAGAGGAACAATTCCCCTGAAGAGGTCATGGACCAATACTAAACCCGCCATTATCTTTTTCTTGTATTTGTAGCCTGAAACCAAAGTAAAATAAATTGTTATCTGTTAAGATCAAGTCATTTTAAGATTAGACATTTAATACATATTGAAGGCTTGCTTACAGCAGGCTTTGGAAGTAGAATGATCACATTCTTCATAGAGATGCAATTCCAATTTGGAAGTGACAGAAAACACATAATAATTAAAATGCCAAAGAAGACAAATATGAATTTCACATAAGAGTAATCAATAAAAATGGGGGGCTGGAGCAATAGCACAGCGGGTAGGGCATTTGCCTTGCACACAGCCGACCTGGCATCCCATATGGTCCCCTGAGCACTGCCAGAGGTAATTCCTGAGTGCAGAGCCAGGAGTAACCCCTGTGCATCACTGGGTGTGACCCATAAAGCCAAAAAAAAATGGGATATAAAGATAAAGCAGGATACTACTTCAATCAAGGCTACCTGAAAAGGCTGTCAGGAAGAAATGTGCTGTGATCTAAACTTTAACAAGGACGATTTACACACATAAGGGATCTGCAGGCCACCTTCATACAGACCAGAGAGCTATAGAATAATAGGGAGCAAGCTCAGTCAGTCATATATATCCATTTATTATGAGTTACTAACAGGACCAAAATATTCTTAGAAGGAATTTCAAGAATTAAGTGGAAGAAAACAGAAAGATTTCTTTGACTAATCCCTTTATCTGGATAGTCACGTGAATACTATAATAAAGAAATAACAATTTTAGTACAATAATTATTCTTTATTAGGCCTAAAAGTATAGTTGGCAATAAATTTTGGTTTGTAATAAGAGGAGAATATCTTATCTTCATAGGCAAGAGTTAGAATACAACAAAGAATATGACAACAGAAAATAGTTATTCAGAAATTATCAGAGTACCTCTCATGTATTTATGAAAATATTTATACTGGAACACATCTTCTTGACAACATACAAGAAAAAAAACTGAACATGGATAGTGAGAGAAAAGGTACTTGCAAAATTGAGTCTTGTTCTGATAATGCATCCAAAAGATTTATGTTTTGTTGAACATCTTTAATTTGGCTACTGTTATCAAAGGGCCATATAAATTATAAAATCAAACATTTTCCTTTGTTAATACAATCCTTGATTGTTCTTCATTGATTTTCACAATTCTGTGACTCTTTAGTATCTTATACTGAAGAGCAAAATTAAATACGGAAAATGATTAATAAAGTGATTACCATAAACTACTTCAAGAAGTAGTTTCCCTAGTTAACCATCTTACTTACTACATCTTACTTACTCAAATTAGCAGTATACCCAGAAGAAGACCGCTAAACCTCAGTGGAATTTCAGGGTATCCACAGTTACATATCTACTATTAAATTAATTTGTTCCTATATAAATTATTGAATATGACGTGGTCTATTTCGTTGTGGAATCGTCCACCGGGAGACTCCCATGTCCATCGTTTAGATTCTGCCTTCTGGAACTGTGAGTTACCATGGATGGTCTTGGTCGACATGATGAACTCTGACAGTCTCTCACCCTGTTCGTTCCATTCTAGGCCATGGGTCCCGATGTGAAGTTCTTCAGCTGATCTTCTCAGTCCTATCTTGGCATTAAAATCACCCACAATGATCTTGTAGAAGGTGTGGTCTTCTTTATAGAACTTCTCTAGCTCCATGTAGAACTTCTCGATTTCTCTTTCATCATAATGAGATGTTGGTGCGTAGACAACGAAGATAGAAACTGCAGGCAGTGAGCCACATCTATTCAAATGTAAACGTCCGATTCCACAACGAAATAGACCACATCATATTCAATCGACGGTTTTGCCTGACTGATGTCGCTGTTGTCCCAAAATTTCGAACGGGATCGGACCACCGTCTCCTTCGTGCAAAATTCTACTTCACAGAGCGGGGAGAAAGGGCTGCAAAGTTCAAAAAGAGAACTCCCAGAATGACCACCAACTGGGAACTCTTTGGTACTATTGCGGCAACATGGGAAGATGCCATTGTTGACAACATTGACGAGGAATACGATCGACTGGTTCAGCACCTCCATGAATGTGCGAGGAACGCCAAGAGAGAGATAGCCACAAAAAGTCGCCTATCTTCGAAAACTCTTGAGCTAATTCGCCAGCGTGATTTGGCGCATGCCTCAGGCAACCGCAAGCTAACGTCCGAGCTTGCAAAGCAGTGCAGAGATGCGATCAAGGAAGACCTCAAAGAGAGAAGAGCAGAAGTACTGGTAGATGCGGCAGAAGCCGGGAAAAGTATTCGTAAGGCCCGCCTGTCCTTCGCCAACTATAAGAGCAAGATGACTGCCCTCCGATGTCCTGATGGATCTATCATATCCTCCAGAACGGCAATGGAGAAGATTATCCATGACTTCTACTCAAATCTCTTCGATAGCCATGTCCACTTGCCAACATACCAAATTCCACAGGATGGGTATGTTGTTCCCAACGTTCTCCCCTCCGAAATCCGACACGCCATTTTGTCGGTAAAGAAACAAACAGCACCCGGCCCAGACAAGGTCAGACCTGAACACCTGAAGAACCTGCCGTCAGTACTCATCAATACACTGGCTCGGCTCTTCACTCGCTACCTGTCTGAATGCAAGGTTCCGTCCCAATGGAAAACCAGCAGGACTGTACTACTGTTCAAGAAGGGAGACATCCATGACATTGGCAACTATCGCCCGATCTGCCTATTGTCTGTCATCTACAAGTTGTTCACTCGAGTCATCCTGAATAGGATTGGCAGAACACTAGATGAAGGACAACCATGCGAGCAAGCAGGGTTCCGCAAAGGATTCAGCACCATCGACCATATCCACACAATAACCAAGCTCATTGAGGTTTCTCGGGAGTTCAAGATGCCGCTCTGCTTAACGTTCATTGATTTAAAGAAGGCCTTTGATTCTGTTGAGACGGAAGCGGTCATTGAAGCCAATCAGGGCATTCAAGCCCAATACATCAGGATCCTCCGTGAGCTGTATTGCAGATTCACTACCAGGATCTCACCATTCTACAAAGAAGTGATCGTTGATGTCAAGAGAGGGGTGCGGCAGGGTGATACCATTTCACCGAAACTCTTCAGTGCCACCCTCGAGAACATCATGCGACGACTGGAATGGGAAGGAATGGGAGTGAAGATAGATGGTCGGCAATTACACCACCTCCGCTTTGCTGATGATATTGTTTTAATAACACCAAACATCAGCCAAGCGGCACAAATGCTGGCCGACTTTGACCGTGAGTGTGGAAAGGTAGGACTACAGCTGAATCTTACGAAGACAATGTTTATGAGAAACAGCCTTGTTCCTGACGCCCCATTCGCTCTCAATGGTACGACCATCTCCGAATGCAACAGCTATGTCTACCTAGGTCGAGAGGTCAACATGACAAATGACCTGGCACCCGAGCTGCGCAGGAGGAAGAGAGCGGCTTGGAACGCCTTCAAGAACGTCGAAGAAATAGCTAAGAGGACGAAGAACCTCCGGCTCCGGGCACATCTCTTTGATTCCACTGTTCTTCCTGCATTAACATATGCCTCAGAGACCTGGGCCCTACGCAAACAAGATGAGAACGCCATTCAGGTCTCCCAAAGAAGAATAGAAAGAGCTATGCTTGGAATATCATGTTTCACTCAAATGAGAGAAAGAATCCGGAGTTCTGACATCCGTCGACGATCAAGGATCAGGGATGCTGTCTCATTTGCCAAGGTGTCGAAAATCAGATGGGCTGGTCACGTAATGAGATTTAAAGACGACCGTTGGACTAGAGCTGTTACTGATTGGATTCCATGGGATGTCAAGAGACCGCGTGGCCGCCCACCTACCAGATGGTCAGACTTCTTCCTGAAGATCATGAACGATCGGTTTGAGGCCCTTCATGTTCCCGGAGTGAACAGATGCCATTGGGCTACACTAGCACGCGACAGGGACAAATGGAGACGTTACTGGCGCCCGCTCGAGCAAATCGACGACTAACGGGAAGTTAAGTTAAGTGATTTTAAGTGATATAAATTATTGTGACACTCTTTTGGAAAGGAACAGAATCTATGAATTCCAAATTAACCGTGAAGCCTAATTGCATTTTTCTATAAATGTATGGACAAAAAATAACTTCTGTGCCCTGCCACAGAGGCAGGGTGGGAATGGGGGTGATGAGGGGTGGGAGGGATACTGGGATCCGTGGTGGTGGGAAATGGGCACCGGTGTAGGGATGGGTAGTTGATCACTGCATAATTGAAACCCAAGCACAAAAATGTGTAAGTCTGCAACTGTACCTCATGATGTCTCACTATTAAAAAATTTTTTATAAAAAAAAAATAAATAACTTCTGAACATAAAGGTATAAACAAGGCCCAGACTACTACTACAAAGAAGTAACTTGCTAACCTTCCCTGTACTCTGAATGACCATGAGACTTACAAAGCTTCTGGAATACTCAGATGATGTTTAAATCAAACAAGTTCTATTTCCTGATTTCCTGAAGCACATTTACCTGATTGCTCCACAAATAATGAAGCCAGTGGCATGGTTTTCTGATTTTTTATGATGAGAGTTGACCAAGGACTGTTGCCATCTGAGAGAGGTCTTATTCTATAAGAGAAAAAGAACAGAACTACATGACATGAAGAATAGGATTTAGTGGGTACATCCCAACAATATCTCTTAAGAAAGCAAAAATACATCCTGTTTTAAAGAGCTAGCAACGTAAAAGTAAAACCTTAAAATGAGACAAAATATAGAATTGCTCAGTAATGAAATTATGAAGTATGATGAATCCATCCTACAAATTAAATGCATATTCATATTTCTATTCTTCTAATAAAGGTAAGGTAAAGGCCCTCCCATTGACCGTCGATTTGCTCGAGCGGGCCCAGTAACGTCTCCATTGGAGACTTTGTTGTTACTGTGTCTGGCATATCGAATACTCTCGGTAGCTTGCCAGGCTCTCTGAGAGGGGCGGAGGAATCGAACTCAGGTCGGCCATGTTGGCCGCTTGTAAGGCGAACGCCCTACCCGCTGTGCTATCGCTCCAGCCCCTATTCTTCTAATAACTGTTTAAAAGTTAAATCTGGGCAAAAAGCTAATTTTGTTTTTGTTTAGTTTTGTTTTGTTTGGAGGGACCACATCATGATGCTCAGTGGTTACTTCTGTGCTCACTTCTGGAGGGGCTCTGGGAAGCATATTCAGTGCCAGAGATCGAACCCAGGTCAGACATATGCAAGGCAAATACACTGTACTATCTTTCTGGCCCCAGATAAGCTATTTTTAAGAAAGCTACTATTACATCCCTATCTACACTTGAATACCTCCAGATAACACATACATACCTTTCTCTGCAATCAGTTCTTTCTTTCATTTGAATTGAATTTGGTCCCCAAGTACAACCTTTTTTCTTAAAATTCCTTTTTAAATCTTCAAATTCTTCTTGTCGACAGACCATGTTCCTTCCCCAAGTTTTATTGCTTTCATCTGAGGTCACTAAACAGAACATTACTCGTTAGTTGTTTTCTTAAAAACTATTTTTATTGAGGTATTGGTGTTTACAATTCTGTTACTCGTATTTTTCATGTATACATCATTCCAAAGCCACACCCAAAGATCCCACTACCCATCACATTCATTAACTAGTTTTTTAAAAAATAATTCTCTCTTGAACATGTATTTTTCTTTCACCTCACATTTTTCTAAGTACATTTCTTTCAAACTATTTTGTTTCACTAAAAATCAATAGGTAAAGTTAAATGCATCAAATCAGTTATAAAACTACTTTATGCTGATAATTAAGACTTCAATTTCTTTAGTAAAACAAATATAACCAAACTGAGCATTTCATTTAAAACAAATTTAGTACCCTGCTTTAAAAAAAAATCAGTTCCACTACTTACTAAACATTGTACATTTTAGGAGATTTCTTCTATATATTTTCAAGTTGTTGTATCTCACACTTTTTTCAGTTTTACGGAGATATAGTTGACATGCATTACTGATAGGGTTAAGGATTATAATACAACATTTTACCCTTAATATATTACACGACTATCTCATTATAGATACAACCATTATATAGATACAATAAACATTCAGCATTGCAACAGTTATCCTGGTAATGAGGACTCCTAAAATTTAATCAACAAATTTCATATATATTATGTCTCACAATGGAGACACTATTGGGCCCGCTCAAGCAAATCGATGAACAACGGGAGGACAGTGACAGTGACATGTTTCAGTGTTAACCATGACACCACTGTCACTATCACTGTCCTCCTGTTGTTCATCGATTTGCTCGAGTGGGCCCAGTAACGTCTCAATTGTGACACTTGTTACTGTGTTTGGATATCAAACACATCAAGGGTAGCTTGCCAGGCTTTGCCATGTGGGCAAGATACTCTCAGTAGCTTGGCTGGGTTGGCTGCATGCAACGCAAATGCCCTACCCGCTGTGCTATCGCTTCACATTGTACATTATATTCCTCTCTACTTATTGGACCTTTAACTACAAGTTTCTACATTTTAATCAATTTCCTTTAAACGCTACCCACAACACACCTCTGATAACTGTAAATAAGATAAATTTTCTATGAATTTTTATTTCATTTACTACAATGACTTCACATCCCATTCATATTGTTGAAAATAGCAGGATTTATTTGCTATTCAACTATTAAAAATAATAGCACCTTTACTTTTTTCCCATGTGGATATCTGTAGGATAACATTGGTTTGTCCTTTCCGCCTTGCCGCAGGGAGCATAGGTTTATTGGATTATTCCTATCACAGTGATCCCATTCCTCTGTGCTTATTTGTAACCTTTTTCTTTGTGCTCTGTTAACTTGTAAATATTGCTTTTCTTTTCTCCTTAAGTCCTTCTCATAGTTAATTGAGAGCAATTAATTTATCCTTTTTGTAGAGACACAGAAGACAGTTAATGCTATGCTTTTGTAACTTGGGAGTTGATTGACTCTGAATGATATTGTAAATATTGCTTTTCTTTTCTCCTTAAGTCCTTCTCATAGTTAATTGAGAGCAATTAATTAATCCTTTTTGTAGAGACACAGAAGACAGTTAATGCTATGCTTCTGTAACTTGGGAGTTGATTGACTCTGGATGATATTTCCTTCTGGACATTTGTTCTCTCAACTTAATCCTCATTTCCCCTTACTTTCTAGCACCCCCAAAGCAGGGTCCCGATGAGGGACTGAATGAACCCAGGGCAAGCAGTGAGCTACCCTGGCATGGAAATAGGCCTGGCCAAAGTGCCATAATATTTAACTCTAAGTTAAGAGCAGGGTCATGGAAAAATTCTGTCATGATCAAAGAGTAATAACTAGATTCAGACCCTGCGAGGGTTGGGAAAGATTAATGTGGCGTGAGCACTGTAGTCTGAGTCTATAAAGAGACATTCCCAGAAGAGCCACCCTAGAAGCTCAAGGTATCTCTGTGTCCATACAAAATCACTAATATTAAGAAGTAGAATTAAGATATTAACTAAGTTATTGGACTAAGAAGAGGAGGAACACCCCTAATGGGTATTTTGCCCTTGAGCAGAAGAAGGGTTTTCATATGTTGATTGTGCTATTGGATGAGGTGTGGCAGCTACCCCCAAAGGAGAGACGAGAGACAGGCTGCAAAAGGGAGCGCGGAGAGATGAGCAGGAGAGACAGAAGGAGAAGGGAAGGCTGGGCAGTGTGAGACTAGAATGGGGATCTTAGTGACACTGGAACAGGCCAGTGGGTAGAATGGAATAAATGGCAACTGATCATCAACCAGCATGGCCCTTGTTTCCTCCTTTTTTTTTTTTGCAATTTGCTAAAAAAAATAATTTATTTTGGATAGATAGAAATACTTTTTTTTCCCCTTTATTTTATTTATTTATTTTTTTACAGTTGTAGACTTACAATTTTTTGTGCTTGGGTTTCAATTATACAATGATCAGATACCCATCCCTCCACCAGTGCCCGTTTTCCACCACCATGGATAATATCCCTCCCACCCCCATCCCCCCATCCCCCCTGTCTCTGTGGCAGGGCAATCCCCTGTGTTCTCTCTCTCCGTTTGGGTGTTGTGGTCTGCAAAAGAGGCATTGAGTGGCAAACATGTTCAGTCCATAGTCTACTTTCGACATGCATCTCCCCTCCTGGGAGGATCCTCCAAACATCCTTTATTTGGTGCTCCCTTCTCTATCTGAACTGCCCTTTCCTCTAGGATACCCGGCTGGCCTCTAAGTTATGGAATAATCCTCCTGGTGCTGATCTCAGTTATTCTTGGGTATTAATCTCATACTTTGTTACTTTATATCCCCCAGCTGAATGCAATCTTTCTATGTCTATCCCTCTCTTTCTGACTCATTTCGCTTAGCATGATACTTTCCATATTGTACCACTTGTATGTAAATTTCATGACTTCATCTTTTCTAACAGCTACATAGTACTCCATTGTGTAGATGTACCAAAGTTTCTTTAACCAGTCATCTGTTCTTGGGCATTCAGGTTTCTTCCAGTTTCTGGCTCCTTGTTTCCTCCTTTGCCAGCCCAGGGCATAGGCCGCCCCCCGGGTGGGGAGTGGCCTGAGTCCTCAGGGCTCTCCCTAGGCGCCCCACAGATTACACAGATATCCATGCATCAATGGATAATTAGGCTGTTTTTATGTTTTGACTTTCATAAATAATGAATGGCAATGTAGATGGGAGTGCGTTTAGCTTTTCAAGGTAGTGTTTTTGTTTCCTTTGGATATGTTTCCAGAAGTAGAATTGCTAGTTAGTATAATTCTAATTTTAAGCTTCTGAGAAACCTCCAGAGTTCTCTGAATTTTTTATGTTTTTGTTGGAGGGCTACTGATGTTTTCAGCTTGTATAAAGTATCTCTTTGAGAAAAGTGCTCAAAGTTTACTACTTGTCATGGGTAACACTGTAGCACTGTCCTCGATTTGCTCGAGCAGGCACCAGTAACGTCTCATAACAAATTGCTAGACTTGTTGTTATTGTTTTTGGCATATGGAATATGTCACGGGTAGCTTGCTAGGCTTTGCCGTGCAGGAGAGATACTCTCGGTAGCTTGCCAGGCTCTCCGAGAGGGGCAGAGGAATCAAACCTAGGTCAGCCCTGTGCAAGGCAAACGCCCTACCTGCTGTGCTATTGCTCCAGCCCGGATAATTAACATGATAATCTGTTAATTATCATAGGAAATAAATGATAGCAGGTTCCGGAAATAATGAGCATATGTGATTTACCTTTTCACCATTCTATTGTTTAAAAGGCAAAAGTGTGTTTAGCTTTTATTTGAAAACATCAGTTATGTAAGACACACCTGGAATCTGAAATTCTCAAAGGAATAATTAGTCAATTCTTCTTTGTTCATATTCTTTTGTTTGTTTTTGTTTTTGAGTCACACCTGGCTGTGCTCAGGGTTTACTCCTGGTTCTGTTCTCTATGTTCAGGGATCACTCCTGGTAGGACTCAGGGTGCCAGGGATCAAACCAGGGCGGGCCACATGCAAGCAAGCACTGTACTTGCTGTACTATCACTCCAGTGTTAGTGTTAGGAATAACTTTTCCTATTCCTAACAGTAAGTGTGCACTAGATATAATATCATGCTGCAAAACCAATCACTAGAGCAAATCAGAGGAAAAAATTAAGAAAATATTCTGCACAAATATCAGATGGTGATTTCTTTAGGAGACAGTGATTTCTTTGCATAATGATGAAATACCTTGGTTTTATCTAAATTCAATCATGATTATAGCATAAAGTCCTTGACTTTTACTGCTATTTAAAGTCTCTGCAGCAATCACATTTTAAAATTCAATTTTACTGAAATGGCTTCCATTTCTCTCAATACATAACTATTCTTTGCTTCAGTTTCAGTGTTTTTAGGTTTGATTTTATGTTCTTTTACTGGTTTCACAGTTGACTTTACTAACTTAAATTCACTCATATTTCCCAGTATCTTCCCAGAGAAATATGCCAGATAACAGCTAGAACTGAAAGTGAAGTCACCCATTCCAATGAATCAAATGTGCATATAAATGTTTCCGACCTACCTGAGAGGCAAAATAATTATAGTATAATATGCTGCTAAAAATGACACAAAATGCAGTGACCTCAAGGCCCAAAAGAGCTTCAAAGAGCAATATAATTGATCATCCTAAAATCTGTCAACACATACAGAGTTCTTATAACATGGAAAGACACCATTCCAAGTTGATTTACATACATTTGACTCCTTAAAAATACTCTCCTCTGGGCTGTAGTGATAGCACAGTGGGTATGGAATTTGCCCTACACGTGGCCGACTCGGGTTTGATTCCCAGCATCCCATATGGTCCCCTGAGCACTGCCAGGAGTGATTTCTGAGTGCAAAGCCAGGAGTGACCCCTGAGCACTGCCGGGTATGACCCGAAAAGCAAAAAATAAATAACAAAATAAAATAAAATAACTCTCCTCATGTTGGAGCAATAATGCAGTGGCTAGGGTGTTTGCAT